GTGTGTTCAGAGATGCTCTTCTGCCTACCTCGGTTGTAACGGGTGGTTATTTGAGTCACTGTTGCCTTTCTATCTGTTTTGTGATATGTTGAGCACCTGAAACAAAGTCACTCTGGGCTGAAATCTCTGCCCTTATCTGAGGTTTCTTGGTGTCATCATGAGCAGAGCCAATTCTATTTGGGTTTCACAGAGAATTATTATTCCACCTCAAGTGGAAACCATTCATTTCCCCACTTCAGACAGTAATGAGCAAGTAAGATAATCATCTGCTGCACTCTACAATACAGACAGCACCTGGCTCACACTCAGTGCAACCCTGACTATTACCAAATTTGAGAAACCTTTTCATTTTCACCCAGACGCTGAAAAGCACTCCAGGGCTCACTGTGAAACTATTCTACTGCTGCTCGAGAGCTTACTTTTCTTCTTGACTTTAACTCGGTCGGGTTTTATTTTCCAGTCTGCTTACAAAACTGGTTTTATTCTCCTGCGCAAACATGCAAACGGTTTCGAACAGACAGAAATGTGACAGAAACCTCACTCCCCACTTGATTTTAATGCTTCCTCGCACACGTCAACCTGAGAAATTCTGCCCCCGGGTCAAACCTTTGTTTTGCAATCTCTGGTTAGGCAATTCCTACTGCCAGTCAAATCATCAGATAATGCTAAACTGCCACTATCAAACCTGGAAGCTCAAATCTCCGGTTTGAAATCTGGCACCTTCCTGTCATTCGAGGTTAACAGCAACTCAGTGACACTTGTCTTAATCTGCCACTGGCATTCGCACTCAAACGGGCATAACCGTGCACGTCCACGTGCTCTTTTCTGGGTTCTTCCACGCTCTTCCACGATTAGTCGATTAATCGACGACTAATCGATTATTAAAATAACCGATGACTAATTTAATAATTGATTAGTCGTATTTTTGGGGTTTTATTTTTGTTGTTTGTTATTCTCTCCAAACTGCTTTGACACCTTCCACTGCCACATCTGCCTTTCTGTCCTTGACACACATGCACAGTAGTGGTAACTGGGGTAGGCTGTGGACGTCACAAGACATTATACAGACAGGCTCTGGTATCATGGCTACCTGACAACGGAGCTCAAAAGTGTGGGAHMWYTTTAAGAAAATGAAAGAGAAACCTGTGYAATATCTGCAGAGCAGAACTTGCCTTCCACTGCAATATTTTTTTAGCATACAGCTAAAATTTAATAATGGTTATATAATAACAGTTGCATTCGGCGCGATAAGCTGTATGTTTTATATTCAATTAACGTATGATCCGATTAGTCGACTAATCGAAAAAATAATTGGTGATTAATCGATTATTAAAATAATCACATGTGGCAGCTCTAGATGTAAACACATAGCACATTGCTACCACGACACTAGCGCTCATCATCGGAGGAGATGTCGGCGTCTTTTATCGAGGGTTTCCAGCGACAAGCCTCTTTTACTTGGGAGTAGCTACGTATGCTCTGTTTTTGGGGAAATGTAGTTGGTGAGTTTACTATTTTATACTACTTCTGTGATATTACTACTAGTCCTACTTCCTGTTATCTTCTTTGTCATCGTCTTTTTCGCCAGTAGAAACAGACGGTTGTTGATCATGTGACTCCCGTGATGTGAAAAAAGTGTTTCCATTGCAGTTTTGTGAAAAACACCAATTTCAATGCAGCCGAAAAACCACCTCATCCCAGCGCAAAAACATTTTGTCGAAAAACGTAATATTTTTTTCGAAATTGACGTGTTTCCATTGAGCAAATTTATTTTCGAAATTCTAATTTGAAAATTTTCATGGTCAATGGATACGCAGCTTCTGTCACACAAGAGCCCACATACATAAACACGATGTTGCTGGGGGGAAAAAAACTAACGACAATAAAACACCCCCCAGGTGGACCGTCACCCCCTCATTATAGCCTGGTCGACACTGGTGACTCATTCACCTTTCATAAACAAAAACATGTAAAGAGTTTCTACCACCATGTTGCCTATTTAAAGTAAACCTAACTCAACATACACCCAAGTTCTTTTATATAAACAAACATGAACAAATCAAAGTTAATTATCTTGAGTGAACGTGCTAATATCTATATATTAGGTATGCAAAATGTTATTATCTTAAAGGCAATTTTTAAAGTATTTCCTTGGATTCCCACATGAAAAGCCCAGTGTTACTCTACTTTCAAATATACTTTTATATGATAGCATCTGCCTCATATTTTCACTTGTATCACCAACCACAAAAATGGTGTTAACGCTTTACCCCAATGCTTTACTCCATGTTTGCAAGCCACAAAAAATGCGTACAACTCAAGTCAATTCGGAAGATGTTGAGCCAAAATGTGGCGTGGTGGTAGCTGAAAGTCATCCCTGACACATGCTCCAAGCACAGATCGTAAAAGATCTGTTTTTAGGATTTAACTCCTTACCTTTAGTCATCTCAAGAACCTCTGGGTGGATTATAAAGAAATTTTCAGAGAATAACCGTTGTGTTACATCTACAAGTCTTTGGAGTCAACTCAAGATGGCTACCAAAGCTAACATACACTAGCACCAAAATGAGTAGATTTCAGTCAGTTTTTCAGAGATTACTTTAAAACTTGGTGTGGTAGTAGCTGAGAGTCATTCGTAATGCATAATGTCAAATGTGACTGAGCACAAGGCTTACCTGGGTTAGACCAAAACAGCCACAACTCTATCATCTCTAAGCTGAAAGGCAGCAGGCCATATGTATTTCAGCAAGGAATGCTTTTAATTTACACTGACCAAAACTGATTTTCACACAGCCTCGTTGTTCCCTCCAGTTTCCTGATTAAGTTGAAACAATTTGTAGCAGCATGTCTCACCCAGAGCTTCACAAAGGCCCCTGGAGTGCCCAGGGGCCCCCACATCCTACAAGTGCAACATGCACACAATCGCACAAGGAAGCTGAAAAAAAGGCACCTAATAAGGAGGCAGGAAGGTTGTGAGAGATTACTTCTTTCCACCCTTCCCACAGGGCTGCACTGCACTGCATTCTTTAAATACTTAGAACAAGCTGTGCATTTAACTCTGCAGAGGCAACACAAGCTGACTGTAGACCCCCCACACCCACCTGAAGAGCAGGAGATGAGGAAAACGGCGAAGGCCAGCTTTGTAGCGTCTCCCATTTTCCATCCGAATCTGATCCACACACACCTAGAAAAAATGTTTCAAAAAGAGAGCAAAAAAAAAAAAAAGAAAAGAAAAAACACCCAAATGCGATTTAAAAAATTTAAAATTAATTAAACGTCTTGCAGCTCCAAGGAGGAGCACAGTCTCTGGAAAAAATGCATTTAAAACCAAAAAGTCTAAATCCAAAATATCCCAGGTAATGCAGCTTTAACAGGGGGGTGACGAAGAGGAGGGTGAGAGAGGAAGGGGGTGGTATTTCCAGGTTTACAGACAAACAATAATGGGGCGACTTGATGGCACCGAAGCCAGTGTTGTCGTTGACTTGTTAGGTCTGCAGCATTGTTATGAACAGCTCACTTGTGCCCGATGAGTTATTTTCAGAACGACGGCGCAGAGAGCCGAGCCACAGCCGGGCAGGGCTAACATCCATCGGACTGCAAACCGAACGCACTCCGCTCCCCAATCAAACTTCTCCTCTACAAGCTCCGTAACATCGCTGGAAAACGGAAAGACAAAAATCAAAGAAATGGCCGTCTGAAGCAGCAATCGCACCCTCCACGTGTGAAAACGGCGGGTTCGAACAGTTTGTTGTGGTTGTATTCCGTGTGGAAGCCCTCAGATTCGTCCGACAGTCCGGCAGGGCTGCCCGGCCGCAAACCACAGATCCGTTCGCTCCAGAAGGGAAGAAACAACGAGGCTTCTGAAAGCCTGATAGTCCTCCCCAAAGTGATTCAAACAATCGCCACGGGTCAAAACAGGTTCTCAGAACAAGTCCAAACGCTCTTTTGTGTCAAAATTAAAAACTAAAACCGCCCTGCAGATAGCGTAGATTTTCTAAGTCCGTCTCCTCCTCCAGTCGGGACAATTTCAAGATGGCGTCACTGGATCTTGTCAGGTCTGATGCGTGAAGCTTCCGGTAGGCCTTTCCAAAATAAAATAGGTTGAAATTAGTTGAATTCTGAAAGCCATTAAAACAGAAATGGGCTGCTTGTTTTGTTTTATTTAAAATTAAATACTACACCACTTGACAGCCAATCAAACTAATAAATAAATTCATTTAATTTAGTCCATAAACTATGAACAAAGTGCTTTGTTTTTTTTTTTTTTTTAGCCAAATTAGACCTGAAGTCAACAATGGTTCAACAACAACAAACATAATGTGATGACTAAAATTTAGGCAATAGATATAGTTTGGGGCTCCTGTATTTCTCCTATTTGCAATTGATATTTTTGTGGCAACTGGCAACAGTCCATTTTGACTTATTTGATTATACCTTTGTTGCTTTTCAACAGCTGTGCATTTCGCCAAATAATAAATATATTAATACATAACATGAGTGGGGAAAAAACTACTTTAGCATTTTTAACCAAAATGCATAAATGTTGGAATTTATTGCAAGTGAGGTGATCCCAAAAATTGTTTATGAGCATTATAAACAATGCTTATAAACATTATAT